CCAGGTTATTCTGGCTGGTGGCTATGCATTTGGTCAGGTCCAGGCATCTCAAAAATAATGCATTTTCCTTTTACTTCCATTTCTTATTTTAAAAAATGTTTATGTGAGTCAGGTGTGGTGGCGCACGCCTGTAGTCCCAGCACTTGGGAGGCAGAGGCAGGCTGATCTCTGTGAGTTCAAGGCCAGCCTGGTCTACATAGTGAGTTCCAGGCCAGCTGGGGCTGTAGGGGGACCCTATCTCAAAAAGACAAAAAAAATGTTTATGTGTGTATGTATGTTTGTGACTGAGTGTATGCCGTGTGTGTAGTGTCCACAGAGGCCAGAAATGGCAGGGCCCCTGGAACTGGAGTTTCAGGCAGTTGTGAACCACCTGACATAAGTGCTGGGACTTGAACTCTGGGCCTCTGCAATAGCAGCACACTTTCTTAACCACTGAGCCATCTCTCCAGCCCTACCTCCATTTCTTGAAAGGCCTGGTCTGTGCAAATTTGCCAATAACTGACCAGCACCAAGCAGCCAGTAGTGTTGTCTGGATCCCAGGGAGCTTTAGTCTTCCACACCTGTGATCTCACTGCAAGGTGGCATTGCCCCAGTTACCACTCCCTTAACCAGAATTTATTGAACTCCTGCAATCCATGGGATACTTTCAAGTCCTCAAAAATCCTCCCACCCCACATCCATTTCCTTCCCATTCCCACAGCACACGTTCCACACGTGTAACTTTCATCTCTGTTTTTGAAGGAGATAACCTGCTTTTTTTTTTTTTTTTCTTTTTGGTATTTTTGAGACAGGGTCTCCCTGTAGTCCCAGCTGTCCTGGAACTCACTATGTAGACCAGGCTGGCTTTGAGCTCACAGAGAGCCGCCTGCCTCTGCCTCCTGAGTGCTGGGACCAAAGGTGTGCACTCCAGGCTCATGATAGATGAATCTTCAATAACTAAAAAGACTTCCAAGGGAGCCATCTCCAAACACAGAATAATTACAGCAGTAACCAAACTTGAACCAACACTACCCAACTTTGTTTTTCTTCCCCTGGTGCTGAGGATAGAACTCAGGGCCTTGGGCTTGCTAGACAAACACTCTACCATGAAACTACATCTCAGCCCCAAAAGTTGACCTGCTATCCCTTCTTAATGAATGAATATTTAAAAAAGAACTGTTGGGGGCTGGAGAGATGGCTCAACGGTTAAGAACACTGGTTCTTTCAGAAGACTCAGGTTCGAATCCCAGCACCCACATGTCAGCTAACAACTGTCCATAACTCCAGTTCCAGGGGATCCGACAGCCTCTTCTGTCCTCTGCAGGCATTGCATGACATGGGTGCACTTACCTACACACAGGCAATACACACATACACATAAAATTAAAAATAAAATATGAAAAAAAAATTTAAAAACTATTTTATGTGAATGAGTATTTTGCCTGCATGTATGTAAATATACCATGTCTTCAGAGGCCAGAAGAGGGTATCAGTCTGGAACTGGAGTTACAGGTGGTTGTTAGCTACCATGTGGATGCTGAGGACCAAACCTGGGTCCTCTGCAAGAGTAGCCAGTGCTCTTAACTGCTGAGCCATCTCTCTAGCCCCGTGAACAGATTTTTTTAAATAGTCTTCCAAAAAAAGAGAAGAAAGGTGTTTTAAACGATGAGTCTGTTAATCTGTGACAGGAAGCTTGACTGGCCTTGTGATCTTCCCTCCACTCTAAGGTGTGCCCTGGCCTGATCACAGCTCCAATTAAAGGCTGCTAAAAATGAGATTCTCCATCCCCCCCCCACACTTTTCTTGAAGAGCACGTCTACCTGCCAGCATTATGAAAAATAAAAGCAGAATCTGACTTCTTTCCACTTTGTGTTTCTTGCAGCTTTATAGTGTTGTTAAAATAGAAGGTGAGAGTTGGATCCCTATGGTGGCTGGCTGGGGCTCTCTGCTGTTGGTCTAGACCTACCTGTAGGTTGTGTATCAGAGGAAAAATCTTTTTATCCACTCATATTAGATTCCCAGGATTCACTAACTGGTGGATCCTTTGTCTTGTGTGGGATCAGAGAGTGATAGTATGGGTCTGGGGTGTTGGGTGAGTGAGAGAAAACTTGCCTATCGTGTGAAGCCCTGGGTCCCAACACACATACCATCACCACAAAAATGAATAACAAAAGTAGACCTGAAAAAAAAAATAGAAGTTACTACAGAAGTACAGTGAGTCTGGAACACAGATATACATTTCATTTTCTGAGGAAGACTTTGAATATTCATGTTTTTTTCTGGGGAAGGAGGAGACTTTCAGTGTACATGTGCTACTTTGCACTTGGCTTAAAATGTGCTTACAGCTCTCCTGTCTAGCGACTTTGCTAAATGCATTACAGTGAAGCATAATCCAAAAATGGAGTATTATTCAGTCATAAAAAGAGTGAAATCAGTCAGATGTGGTGCTGCATGCCTATAATCCCAGCACCTTCTAAAAATTATTTATCTGAAAATAACTGAAAGCCAGGTGGGGTGACACAGGCCTGCAGTCATGCTGCTTGGGACGTAGAGGCAGGAAGATCAAAAGTTCAAGGATGGTCCTGGCTATGGGGTGAGTATGAGGCCAGCCTGGGCTATGTGAGACCCTGTGTCAAAAAAACAAAAACAAAAATGAAAAAAAAGCTGAGACAATCCTGGGGCTCACTTACCCATGTAGTGACATTAGTGGCCAGCAGAAGGTGAAAGGACATATTGGAAAAGGGCTCGTCTCTCCCCTGTCCTTGGTGACACAACAGTTTGTGATATTAACTTTTGTTTTTCAGGGCTGGATATCAAACCCAGGTACTCTTGTATGCTAAGCAAGTGCTTTACCACTAAACCATACCCCCAGCCCCGATGTTGCTAAATTTGGATATACATAGACGGGGGCTTGTGCAGTGCACAGGGACTAGGCAGGGTGAGGTGAGGAGGTGAATGTTGTGGTTTCCCTTATCAACTGTGTGAGCTCAGGGAGCTGAGTCTTAGGTTCTGCACCACAAAGTTGGAGTGATGGAAGACTATCTATGGGGATAATGAGTTCACAAACATAATGCACACAGATCTTGAGAACAATGGGTGTCTGAACTTTTACTAGGTTTTAGGTATAACCTCCATCACAACAGAAAATATGTGTCTTTGGACAACTTATTTCTTTTGAAGATAGTCTGTCTATAAGGCTAGCCTCAGCTGGTGTGATGCACTAGCTCAACTTTTTTTGTCTTTTGAATCTTTCTTTGCCATCTGTTCCCTAGAGCTGTGCATGTCAAGGGGCACAAACATTGAACTGCCAAGTCACTCAGAGAGATTACATCAGCCAGAGCTCCCAGTCTCCAGCCAAGCAGTACCCCTGTAGCCCAATCCACAGTGGCTGACATTTGATCTTGCTGGCTTCAGAATCACATTCCAGAGCAGAGGAAGGAGATGCACTTTGTCTTCAGAGAACTCTATCTGGAAGGGGTCTGTGTAAGGTAACTTTGGAAGCATCTCAGGAGGAAAACAGTTACACCTGGGGTTTTGTTTTTCCCTTTTCCAGTGCTGGGGAATGAAACCCAAAGTCTCCCTTATACTAGGCACACACTCTGTTAATGAACTACACCCCCAGCCCCCCTCCTGGACTTTTATGGCATCCCTTATGACAATCTTTACCTCCATGACATGCAAGAACTTCTGCATCTCCATCATCACAGACCAAGAGCAAACAGGTTTACTGACCCCATTGAACAAGGGAAGCTTTCCTAAGAACAAAGGAAAGGTAGAGTTCTTCCCAGGCTGGGCAAGTTTGTAGCAGGCAGCACTGTGTCCAGAGGACCATTGGGTCTCATCTGTCCAGAGTACCGGCCTTGCCTCCCTGGGAGACAATGCTGAGCAGCTTGGGAAGCTGCACCCAGCTTGGGGTGGAGGACGGTCCCTGTCAGAGGCTCTGAGCTCCTCCAGGTAGAAGAGTTTCCTTGTTCCTGCTTAGGGTCAAAGAGTACTGTATCTGCTGCTCTGTGTTTTAGAAAGCAGGGCTTCTCAGTAAAGAGGAGGAGGTCACTCAGAGGAGGGGTGGTGATGACACTTGATGGTGTCATCAAGGGTGGCCTCAGCACACCCTTGGAGAAAATGCTATCTCCCCTTTAGTCGCAACTGGTTTTCTGTGTCTGTCACTGCAGTCTGGACTAGCAGGCAGATTTGCAGTTTCTGTAAACTACCTTTTATCTTAGGTGGTATTTTCAGAGCCACTGTCAATTAGGCGACTGGGCCCAGCAGGTGTTGAAAGGCTGCCTGTCAAACTTCCCTTAACGTTTAACAGGACTGGGCTGCACCTCAGCACCCAAGGCAGTCAATCCTAAAGGGGACATTTGGTGATCTTGCGCAGGGGGAGCGCCTGCAGCCCCAGAAACTCCAGAAAGTCCCTGGATGGCAAGGTCCCTCTCCCAGGCATGGCAGGGGCAGCCAGAAGTCCTACATCCCTCCAGTCGCTACCCACTTTTGCCCCATTGAGGGGCAAATATCGCTCTGGGCAGGCTGTAGGTGGCTCACTTCACCTTCAGATATACCAGTAAAAAAGACAAACCACTTCCCCAAGTGTCATTGTCCTCTTCAAGGTTTAAAACACTCCTTTTTCCTATCTTCTTGGTTCCCGTGGCCCCGCCTCCAACTCTGAGCAGCGCGGCCCCACCCCCGAATTGCCTGAAGCCACGCCCCTCTTCGAGGACCCGCCTCCGTCTTATCCTGGCCCTCGCCCATTGGCGAAGCCCCGCCTTCGGCCTGCCTGAGACCCCGCCCGCGGCTCGCCCGAAGCCTCTCCCCCGCAAGGCCCCGTCCCAGTCTCATTCGAGACCTCTACTGGTGAGGCCCCGCCTCCGGCTCTCCCGATTGCACGCCCCTCGGCGAGGCCCCGCCCTCAGCTCATCCTGGACCTCTCACAGCCGAGCAGCCGGGGCTCTCTGATGCCACGCCCTTCTGCGAGGCCCCGCCCCTTCCCAACGCGCAGGCGCGGCCCGTGTCAGCCCGCCTCCGCAGCGGTCCCGAGCGCCAGAGACGCTGCAGCATCCTTGGTGGTAGGTTCTCATCATCTTCTCCCTGGGCAGGCGCTATGGCGAAGCCGCTCACGGACAGCGAGAGGCGGAAACAGATAAGTGTGCGCGGCCTCGCGGGGCTAGGCGACGTGGCCGAGGTGCGGAAGAGCTTCAACCGGCACCTGCACTTCACGCTGGTCAAGGACCGCAACGTGGCCACGCCCCGCGACTACTTCTTTGCCCTGGCGCACACGGTGCGAGACCACCTCGTGGGCCGTTGGATCCGCACGCAGCAGCACTACTACGAGCGCGACCCCAAGGTGAGGCGGCCCACCCTCCCCTCGAGGGGACCTCCCTCCGGGTGCCACGGCAGGGTGGGGCCCGGGTGCAGGCTGCCCGCTGCGCTGCCCCGCCCCCCCCCCAGGAGACCGCCGCCGGGCCTGGCCCCTGTCGCGCGGAGGCCATGTAAAGTGACAGCAGAGTGATGCGTCTTCATCAGAAGGATGCATGCATGCTCTGCGCTTGCGGGCGTCGTTCTAACCTGCGGGCTATCCCCCGACCCCCTGGCCCGCAGTCCACCGCCGAACCTCGCAGCCACCTCTTTCTCCGGGAGGGCTTTGAGTGGCCCCTGCCTCCCGCCGTAGCTCCCCGGGGTCCGTCGCCCGCAATCCCCGAGTCCAGGCGGGATTTCCAGCTGTGCACTTCTGAGATGGCTGCAGAGTTGGAGCTTCCTCTACCCTCCGTTCCCCCCTCCCCCCGCCCCCACTACCTACCCTTTTGTTTTTCTGCTGCAGCGAGTTGGAAGAACAGGGAGCTGGAACCAGGCCCAGGAGTTTTATGAGTTTGGAAAATGGCGAGATCAGTAATCTGCAGAGAATTGTGGGCCTGTGTGTGTCTGTGTGTCTGTGTCTGTGTCTGCCTGCAAAGCAAAAGGGACCCGAAGTGGAAAAGTGGAACTCTTCGTTGAAGCCTGTCTTTGAGGTTCCCAGATAAAAGTTGCTTAGAGATTGCTTTACAGGTTGCTCCTTTTTGTGTTTTGTAAAACGTTTATTCGCAGTAGGAAAACAAAATATATAAAAAAAATTGGCTGATAATCCTCATTATTAACCACGTGTCCTTTCAGATCTTTTCTATTCCTAAATACACTTTTATATGTTGCATGATTCTGTCGCTTTTGTTTCATTCATAAAGTGGCATCCTCACTCATAAACAGCTTTCCAATACTGGTGCTTTTCGGTTTGATGGCTGTATCATAGTTTTGAACCTACTCCCCATCTCAGTTTGATTTTTGCTCTTGCCATGGAGGGGTCTCTCTTTCCTATACTAAGAGTAAAAATTAGCAAGGAAAAGACACTTGCAGATCCTAAGCCAGTTAGTAATGATTTATTGGGCACCCAGCAGTTCTTTTATTGATAGTATTTTAGAGTAGTTTTATAAGGCATTAAAGTATGTTTGATAATCGCTAAGAGTAGCATTCAGTTGCATTTCCTAATTCATTCTGAGGCTTTTTTAAAATAAAGATGGTAAAAAGGATAGACTTATTAGCATGCCGGTTGGGCTTCTTCTATTTAATATGCAAGCTAGCTTCTAAAGAAGTGGCCCAGAATGCCCAAGACAGGTTATAACAAGGGCTTGGGATAGTTGCCAGGGTAACTGGCCAGGAAACTGGCTCCCCCAGAATGCCTTGTTAATGGAAGAGTTCTGTGGCTTATATTCACTGGTATTGTCCAAGCATTGGGTAACAAGGATACAGCTTTGCCTGCACATTCAAGGTCATTTCCCAGGAGTTGGAGGACACTGTAGGGCTCTTCTAGTGATGGGTTCAGGCATTAAGGAAATGATCCTTCTGGGCAGAAACAATCCTAACAGACCAGGTTTCCTGATCCTCAGTGAGATGTTTGGATTGTCTACCATCTTAATTATAAGTGGAATAACCCTCCCGTTTGTTCAATTATTTAGTTAATGTGGGTGGAAGGAGGATGGTGGGAGGGAGGGTAGGTGGGAGTGGGCCTTTAGTGCAGGCTCACTGGCCTACACCTATAATCCCAACATTCTAGAGGTTGTGACAGAGTTTTCATGAGTGAGACCCTGTCTTAGAAGACCAAAAAATAAAAATCTGGCAGAGCTTGTAAATGGAAGGCTTCTTTGTTGATCCTGTATAGGAAGGACTCTTAAAATTGGAAAGCTGAAGGGCAGTAAGATGGCTCCAGTGGGTAAAGGGTACTTGCTGTGGAAAACCTGAGTTCTGTCCCCAGAACGCAGGTAGAAGGAGAAAACAGAGTCCTGCAAGTTGTCCTCTGACCTCCATACGTGTGCTGTGGCATGGGTGTGTGTACATTCACACTATACAGAAATAAATTAATAAACAGAAAGTGGGAAGTTGAGCCAAGCATGGTGATGTCCTCCTATAGACTTAGCTACTCCAGATTTGAGGTCAACCTGGACAAAGTAGCAAGACCCTGCCCCTTTCAAGAGGCATGTGAGGCGTAGCAGAGTGGTCGAGCCCATGTTCGAATGTTTGAGGACCTGGGTTTCAGCTCTAGCACTGAAAAAAGAACAGAAAGCAAAATGATGAAAGGGTAGGTAACTGATGAAGGTGATTCAGTCCTCTCTGTGAAGGGCTTGTGAGGAGTGAGGGGTGGAAGTATGCTTCCAAGGAGACACCCCAGCCCTGCCCTCCTCCTGACCTGCACATCTCAGACTGGGCACATGATATATTTGATAAAGCAGTACTATATTATTTGTGTCTTTTAAAAAATGTGCAAGTCTTGTGCAGGCATGGTGGTGCACACCTTTGATCCACATAGTGAATTCCAGGCCACCTAGGGCTTCAGGGAAACCCTATCTCAAAAAAAAAAAAAAAAAAAAAAAATTAAAGCTTCCATTTCAGATAGGCATTCCCTTTATCTCGAAAAGCTGGTCTCAGGAGTTCAAGGTCATCATCTTTGATTACATAGCAAGTTTGAGGTCAGCTGGGTATAAATGAGACCATGTCTCAAAACAAAACAAAACAAAAAAACAAACAAAATCTGCATCCAGAAAGAATTTGAGATTGGTTAAGCTAGGTGTAATATAAAAGGTTCAAATTAGTAGAAGGCCTCAGATTGAAAGCTAGGGTAGAACACTGAGGGTGTAACCAAACACACAGTCCACATCTAGGTGAGTGCCAAGCCAGTAAGCACAGCTATGCAGTGGGAAGAGATATATGACCTACAGCAAGCAATCAAAGAGGAACATGAGAGTTGTGTCCACAGCAGTGCCCTCCCAGACCACAGCAGGCTGGAGATGGAGATGTTATCAGGAAGCCAATACATACTTATATTAGGGTTGGCTTACTCCTGAGCATGCTCAAGTTAAAGTCATGGAGCACATATTTAAAAGATTAAAGTGTAGGACAGGAATGCGCCTGGGTATGCTCATAAAATTTAAGCCAAAAATAAAGGAAAAGGTATCTTGAATGTGCTGATTCTTGAATGTGAATTCAGGAATCTGGCCTTGAAGGTGCTGGCCTCATGACTGACAAGTGCAGAGAATGAGTTAAATTTGGGTGTGAAGTTAGCACGTGAGAAGCAGGCCCTCAGTTCTGGCCACCAAAGCAAATACCTACTTACGGGAGTCCCAGGAACCTTGCTGCCACATCTATAGTTTATAGCTGGCTTTCTCTGTGGGTCTTTGAAAAGCCAGTTGTGTGCCGTGTGTACAGCTGACCTGCTGCACTTCTGTAGTGGTTGGAGGAAAAGCAGCTCTTCTAAGATAAGATAATCACAATGAATTTGCTTAGTCTTGCTGTCTGGCTGGACCAGGAGCTGAGGGAAGGTGATCAATCCGGTGGCCCAGCCACTTGGGGAACCCCACTTCTGGGGTTTTGTTTGAATTAGTCAGCTGTGGGAGCAACTGCTGAAATCTTAATAGTCCTAGTTTTCTGGAGTGTTTCCACTCATATTACCTTGTCCCTCAGGCAGGCTTTCACAGCTACAGATAACTCAGTTCCTTAGCCTGAAACTGGTGTTCAGTGATTACCCTGAAGATGAAGAGTCCTTTCAGTGAGCGTGTTTCATGGTTTTTCTTAGAAGACCATCTGGCCTCTGCTTTTATAGGCTATGATGGTTATTTAAAAAAAAAAAAAAATTTTTTTTTTTTACTTATTTTATGTATGTTTTGCCTGCATGCAATTCCTGTTGAGCCCAGAAGAGGGTAGGGTGTTAGATCCCCTGGAACTGGAGTTATGGACAGCCGTTTCACTGCATGTATACAAATAAGGGTAAGCACAGCTCTCTTCTCAAAGGATTATAATTTGTATTGGAAACTTTCTAAATCCTTTATTTTAGCTTTTAGAAATGAATAGCACTTTTGAGGGGATTTTTGTTTGTTTTTTTTGAGACAGGATCTCACTGACTGGCCTGGAACTTGCTATGTAGACCAGGCTAGCCTCAAATTCACAGCAACCAAGGATGACCTTGAATTCCTGATCCCAGCATTTCTCAATGGAGATGGAATGTCAGCATGAAGTAGGAACATTTTATAGCTTCTGATCCTCCTCCCTTCACCTCCTGAGTACTGGGATGATGGGCATGGACCACCACACCCAGTTTATGTGTCACTGGAGTAAAATCCAAATCTTTGTGCATGCTAGGCATTCTGCCACCCGAGCTGCTTTCCCAGCCTGGGTACATTATCTTTACCAGTTGTTATTCTCCTGTGCAGTAGAACACCAGAGCTTTTTCTCTGTCTACTCTTTCCCCTCCCTTTCTCTTCTGCTTTCTTTGTATCTGAATTACCATTCTGCTCTCAACTTTTTTGACTTTTTAAAAATTCCACATCAAAGTGATGTTGTGTGTTCATCTTTCTGTGTCTATAACGTTTGATATGCCCTCAAGTTCCATACATATCATTGCAAATAACTAGACTTTCCAGTTTTTGGTATGTTTGGAGAGGGAGTTGTCTGGCGAATCAAATCCAAGACCTTATGAGTGCTAGGCAAAAAATCCACACTGAGCTCAACTTTATCCTTTTTCATTGTAGTCCATATGTGCATGCTGCATATTCTCTATCCATCCATTCATCCACTGATGACACTGAAGTTGTGTGTCTTAGATATTGTGAACAGTGTAAAATAAACATAGGAGTGCAGATGTCCTGGCATGTTGTAAATCAGTGAAATTTGAGTAGAAACCTCTGATAATGTGGTAGGCCTCTGTGTATAGAGTCTCCCATACCAACCAGCGTTCAGTTAACATGCCCGAGTATTCTACAAATCAGCTCAGTTCTGACTCTTACATGGAGTTAGTATTAGACTGCACAGGATCAGGGCTCAGACCCA